GCCGGCCCCGGGCTCAGCGCTTGGTGCCCAGGAGGTTGGGGTTGGCCCTGATGGTGATGAGGAGCTTCGGCCCCAGCCCGAGCGCGGGTTGGACCCCCAATATTAGAGTGTGGGTCGACCCCGGCCCATCCGTGGCTCCAAGGCCACCGTTGGCACGTGAACGGGTTCAACCTGGACGCTGGAGCATGGCGTCACCCTTGGCATTGGAGAGCAGGTTCAACCTCGATGTTGGCAGCACACGAGCTTGACGCCGCTGGTGATCATGTGGCATCAACGTGAATGTCCACGTGGGGGCTGGACCCCAACGCTTGGTTTTGACCCGTCATGTCGGAGCTTGCGTTCCACCCCAATACGAGTGTGGGGGTCAGCACCAGCCGCTGCTTGGGGTCAGCCTCGACGTTGGGCGCGGAGTCAACCTCGACGTTGGAGAACGAAGGATTCAACCCTCAGTCACGACGGAGGTTCAGTCCCAACCAGAGCCCAGGTTCAACTGTCCGTGTTGGAGTGTGGGGTCAACCCAGGCAGTCCAGGGGTCCAACCCAACGTTGGCCCATGAGTCCAGCACCAGCAGCTGCCTTGGCTCAACCCACACGTTGGAACACGGGTTCAAGCCCAGCCTGCGCTTGGGTTCAACACTGATATTGGGGATTCGGTTCAACCATGGCTGAGGTCCAGGGTTGGCCACCAATGTTGGAGCGTGGGGTCAACCCCAGCTGGTCTGCGGGTCCAGCGCCGGCCAACGCTCCACAGCGGCTGGTCCAGGGTCAGCCCCAGGAAGAGGACAGGTCCTAATGGGTTCAACCCCAGCACTGGAGCATGGTGGGGGTCAACCTCAGTGTCAGACCATGCAGTCAACCTCAGCGCTGCAGTGCGTAGTCCTCACCGTTGGGCCAGGAGGTCAACCCCAACGTTGGCCATCACGGTCAGCCTCGGCATTGGCCACCACAGTCAACCCCAACATTGGCCATCACGGTCAACCTCAGCGTTGGCCACCACGGTCAACCCCAACATTGGCCATCACGGTCAGCCTCGGTGTTGGCCATCACAGTCAACCCCAACATTGGCCATCACAGTCAACCTCAGCGTTGGCCACCACGGTCAACCCCAACATTGGCCATCACGGTCAACCTCAGCGTTGGCCACCACGGTCAACCCCAACATTGGCCATCACGGTCAACCTCAGCGTTGGCCAT